TCAGAGAAGAGTTAACACCACTACTACTAAAGGTATTTCAGAGCATAGGAAAGGATGGAATACTCCCAAACTCATTCTATGAAGCCAGCATAACCCTGATAACAAAACCAGATAAAGGAACCACAAAAAAAAAAGAAAATTAAAGACCAGTATCCCTCATGAACATAGATGCAAAAATCCTTAACAAAATTCTAGCCAATAGAATTCAACAACATATAAAAAAAAATAATTCACCATGACCAAGTGGGATTCATCCCAGATGTGCAGGGAAGGTTCAACGTTAGAAAAACAATCAATGTAATCCATCACATAAATAAAACAAAAGATACTTGGTCTTATCAATTGATGCAGAAAAGACATTTGACAAAGTCCAACACCTATTCATGATAAAAACTCTCAGCAAAATAGGAATAGAAGGGATATTCCTCAGCATAATAAAGGGCATATATACAAAGCCAACAGCCAACATCATCCTAAATGGAGAGGGTCTGAAAGCATTTCTGTTGAGACAGGGAACCAGACAAAGATGTGCTTTATCACTACTCTTATTCAACATTGTGCTAGAGCCCCTAGCCATAGCAATTAGGGTAGAAAAGAAATAAAGGGCATCCAGACTGCTAAGGAAAAGGTAAAAGTATCTCTGTTTGCAGATGATATGATCTTATACACAGAAAACCCCACAAAAACCACAAGGAAACTACTGGAACTAATAGAAAATTTTAGCAAAGTATCAGGATACAAGATAAACATACAAAAGTCAGTTGGATTCCTCTACACCAACAAAGAGAAATTCAAAGAGGAAATCACCAAATCAATACCATTTACAATAGCCCCCAAGAAGGTAAAGTACTTAGGAATAAATCTAACTAGAGACGTAAAAGACCTATACAAAGAAAACTACACAGCACTACTGCAAGAAACCACAAGAGACCTGCGTAAGTGGAAAAACATACCTTGCTCATGGATAGGAAGGACTCAACACTGTGAAAATGTCTATTCTACCCAAAGAGATGTACAGATACAATGCAATCCCAATCCAAATTCTAATGGCATTTTTTAATGAGATGGAGAAACAAATCACCAAATTCATATGGAAAGGGAAGAGGCCCCGAATAAGTAAAGCATTACTGAGGAAGAAGAACAAAGTGGGAGGCTGCACACTACCTGATTTTAGAACCTATTATACTGCCACAATAATCAAAACAGCCTGGTAGTGGTACAACAACAGGTATATAGACCAATGGAACAGAATTGATTTTCCAGAAGTAAATTCATCCACCTGTGAGCAGCTGGTATTTGACAAAGGCCCAAAGTCTATTAGTTTGGAAAAAGATAGTCTCTTTAACAAATTGTGCTGGCATAATTGGATATCCATCTGCAAAAAAATGAAACAAGACCCATACCGCACACTGTGCACAAAAACTAACTCAAAATGGATCAAATACCTAAATATAAAATCTAAAATGATAAAGATCATGGAAAAAAAAATAAGGACAATGCTAGGAGCCCTAATACGTGGCATAAACAGATACGAAACATTACTAACCACACACAAACACCAGAAGAGAGACTAGATAAATGGGAGCTCCTAAAAATCGAACACTTATGCTCCTGAAAAGACTTCACCAAAAGAGTAAAAAGACAACCTACAGATTGGGAAAAAAATTTTGGCTTTGACAAATCTGATCGATGTCTAATCTTTAAAATCTGTAAGATACTGCAAAACCTCAATAACAAAAAGACAAATAACCCAATTAAAAAATGGGCAAAGGATGTGAACAGGCACTTCACAAAAGAAGACATTCAGGCAGCTACCAGACACATGAGGAAGTGCTCACGATCATTAGCCATTAGAGAAATGCAAATCAAAACTACAATGAGATACCATCTCACTCCAACAAGGCTAGCATTAATCCAAAAAACACAAAATAATAAATGCTGGAGAGGTTGTGGAGAGACTGGAACACTTATTTGCTGCTGGTGGGAATGTAAAATGGTACAACCACTTTGGAAATCGATTTAGTGCTTTCTTAAAAAGCTAAAAATAGAAGTACCATACGATCCAGCAGTCTCACTCCTTGGAATATATCCTAGAGAAATAAGAGACATCACACGAATAGATACATGCATACCTGTGGTCATTGCAGCACTGATCACAATAGCAAAAAGATAGAAGCAACCTAGATGCCTGTCAACGGACGAATGTGTAGACAAATTAGGGTGTTTTTACACAATAAAGTACTATGCAACCAGAAAGAGCAACGATGAATCTGCGAAACATCTCATAACATGGACGAATCTGGAAGGCATTATGCTGAGTGAAATTCATCAGTCACAGAAGAACAAATATTGTATGAGACCACTATTGTAAGAACTTAAGAAAAGGTTTAAACACAGAGGAAAACATTCTTTTGATAGTTACTAGAGTGGGGAGTGAGGGAGATGGGTATTCACTAACTAGGTATTAGATAATAATTATCTTATGTGAAGGTAAGGACAACACACAATACAGTGGAAGTCAGCACAACTGGACTAAACCAAAAGCTAAGATGTTTCCTGAATACAACCAAACACTTTGAGGGACAGAGTAGCCGGGCCGGGGATCTGGGGACCATTGTTTCAAGGGACATCTAGGTCAATTGTCATAACAAAGTTTAAGAAAATGTTCTGCGTCCCACTTTGGTGAGTGGTGTCTAGGGTCTTAAAAGCTAGTGAGTGGCCATCTAAGATACATCACTTGGTCCCAACCCACCTGGAGCAAAGGAGAATGAAGAACACCAAAGACACAAGGAAAATATTATCACATGACACAAAAGGGACCACATAAAACAGAGACTCCATCAGCCTGAGACCAGAAGAACTAGATGGTGCCCAGCTACCACCAATGACCACCCTGACGGGGAACACAACAGAGAATCCTTGACTGAGCAGGAGAAAAGTGGGGTGCAGAACTGAACTTCTAGTAAAAAGACCAGACTTAATGGTCTGACTGAGACTGGAGCGACCCCGGAAGAAATGGCCCCCAGACTCTCCGTTAGCCCAGAACTGAAACCGTTCCGAAGCCAACTGTTCAGACAAAGATTTAACTGGACTATGGGACGTAAAATGATACTTGTGAAGAAAGTGCTTCTTAGCTCAAGTAGATACATGAGACTAAATGGGCAGGTCTTGTCTGGAGGCGAGATGAGAAGGCAAAAAGTGTCAGGAGCTGGTTGAATGGACATGGGAAATCTGGGGTGGAAAGGAGGAGCGTGCCCTCACGTTATAGGAAGAGCAGCTATAGTCACATAGCAATGTGTGTTTAAATTTTTTTTATGAGAAACTGACTTGAACTGTATACTTTCACTTAAAGCACAATTAAAAAAAAAAACCATGGCCTTTGAGTCACAGCAACCTCATGTATGCATAGTAGAGGTGCTCCAATTGGTTTTCAAGAGTTGAGTGTTTGGAAGCAGATGGCCAAGTCTGTCCTCTGAGACAAGTTCCGACTGTCAACCTTACAGGTAGTAATCAAGGACTTAGCCATTTGTGCGAACCAAGGAATGCAATTTGAGCAGAATCCATAGTATTTTGCAGGACAAGTTTCATTCCATAGTTGCCCTTCCCCCTCCCCCCCCCCATAAAAATGACGTGGAGGTCGGAATAAAAGAAAACCTAGCCTTAGGACCAAATAGAATCCATTCTCTGCTTAAAGAATCACAGGGTTAAACGTGTGGACTGAAAAAAGCACATCCTGGGCAGTAAGTCTCTCAGGCGCAAATTCATTTTATTCTGAAAGTCTATGCTTTTTACCAAAATGTGGCTTTCTTGTTTTTTTTTTTTAATCCATTTATTTTCTCAGTCCATTCTTTCCTAATTACAGATGTGCAGTGAATGTACTAATCACAGAAAATATATTGTGATAGGAGGTAGGAGCATGAAAGCCTAGCTAAATCTTCTCTGAATATGAAGAGTTCTATTTATTGATTATTGATTTAGATTTTTCAGAATTTAAACTTTCACATATGTTATGAATTATTGATAGCATCTTATAGTTTTGGAACTTGTAAGATTTACATGACATTTTTATAACTATATTTATAAAATGTATTTATATAATACATGGGTAACAAGGCTATAGTACAAATTGAATATTTGCAGTGATAGTCCAACAAATTAAATTGATTGTGAATGAATTTTGTTTTTTTTTTTCTTTTTATAGTGTTGAGATTTTTAGAGAACCTGATGTGTCTCTTGGAATCAGTATTGTTGGTGGACAAACTGTTATAAAACGCCTAAAGAATGGAGAGGAGCTTAAAGGTATATTTATCAAACAAGTTTTAGAAGACAGTCCAGCAGGAAAAACAAAAGCTCTTAAAACTGGAGATAAAATACTTGAGGTAAATGATGTTGAAATACTGTTCCTGTTTGAAGTACACTGTAAGATAGTGAAATATTTAGGCAGAACTCTTTAGTGTATTAGGTGTGTCTGAGTACAAGTGGCATACTTTATTTAGTTAGGTTTGTACATTAAATATACAGTTTTATGAATTTCTCAAGTTGGGGGGCAGCAAATAAAACAATAAAACCTTAGCTGACTTAAAAAAAAAAAAAAACTATTTAACAAAGGGCTCTGTATGGAATGAGGCAGATAGTGGACTCCTGTGGTCCTCTTTCCTTTCACTAAACTTGATGGGGAAAACCACGCCCTAGTTACATGCAACTCTGCATATTCCAGGTTTTTAACAAGGCTGTCGGAGCTCTGGTGGTACAGTGTTTAAGAGGTCAGTTGCTAACCAAAAGGTTGGCAGCTCGAATCCACCAGCTGCTCCTTGGAGACCCTATGGTGCAGTTCTACTCTGTCCTCTAGGGTCACTGTGAGTTGGAATCGACTTGATGGCAACGATTTTTTTTTTCTTTAAACATGACTGGAGAGGATAACCAGCTATGATTTTTGGTCTCATTTTATATTCGTGAGCACCCTTCACATGGGTTTTTAGTTCTTCCCTGCAGTGTTGTAATATTTCCTTTGTCGTTTTATTCTCCCACTATTAGTAGGCAACATTTCAAACCTTCAATACCTCTTTCCTGGGTCTTAATCTCAGTTTATAGTCCTTATTTCTTGTCTCATTGAGAAAATAGAGGCACTCAAAAGAGAGCTTCCCTTGCTTCCACTACGTCTCAAATCTCTTTTCTAACTGCGTCTGTTAGCAAGTAATCTGACTTTCCTCCTGTAGCAGCAAATGAACTATTTGTGTGTGTGTCCAGAATCATGTCTCTAACTTGCGTGACAGAAATCTTTCCCTCTTGACTGCCTGAGGATATTGCTCCTGCCTTTGTGCTTGCTCTCACCTTCATCCATTTTTCCTCTCTTCTGTGTCATTATATGCTGTAATAGCTCCCATCTTAAAAATAATAAAAACCTCACTTGATCCTACATCCCTCTCCACTTATCTTCGTATTTCTTTGTCCCCCTTACAGCAATCCATTGAACATAAGGCACTGTAGCATTTACCAAGGCTTTGTTACATTATGAGTTTGAAAAATTTGTTCTGTTAAATACATTTGGTAAACACATAATGCTCTTGGATGTGTGGGCATGTTAGCAAGTTTTATTCTCTGAGATTTCTATAAGCAATCAATTTATACTTACCCCATATTTATTTGAACACAGAACACTTTTAGCAAGATAACCTTTTATTCCTTTGGTACTTCTTTTTTTGAACTTAATTTAAGAGCTTGGCTGCTAATCAAAAAGTCTGTAGTTCAAACCCACCAGCCGCTTCTTGGAAACACTATGTGGCAGTTTCTACTCTGTCCTGTAGGGTCGCTATGAGCTGGAATCGACTTGATGGCAACAGGTTTGGTGTTTTGGTTTTGGTACTTCTTTTTTTGAACATAATTCAATAAATGTTTAACTACTCAATTATGATAATGGGCAATTTGCTTAACATATCATGCTTCTCAACTTAACTGAGAGAAGATAGGAGTCCAGAGAGATTCCCCCAACCCCATTCAGAGTTATGTACTGTGTTAGTGGCAGAGGGGAAATTACGAGCTCAGAAGCCTCTTAAGGTTCTGTTACTAACTCAGCTACCTACTTTGGATAATTATGTTTAATTAGGACTGTTGTGATTGAGCATATTTGTCTTACTTCTCCTGAAGGTTCAACATTATTTTCCTAAAACATGTTCTATTAAAACAGCAAACCTCTTTATGGGTCAATTTTATTTTTTTCTAGCTTTGGTCTAATCATTAGACTTTAGCTGTTCTCATACTAGATAATACACAGGAACTTTGAATTAACCTACCCACAATATCTAGTGCCTTTCTAATTGAAATAAATTACTTCTGTGTTTCAGGTGTCTGGAGTAGATTTGCAGAATGCCTCACACAAAGAAGCAGTTGAGGCCATTAAGAATGCGGGAAACCCCGTGGTATTTGTTGTACAGAGCTTGTCACCTACTCCAAGAGTAAGTTGTAGTTCATATTCTCCAAAAGTTCTAAAACATTTTCTCTACCTGTGGACCAAGCTGTTGCCTCTAAGTATTTTTCTAAATATTTTCATTGTTCTCCAAGTTATACTATTACTTGGAAAAATTATTAGCTTCAGAAAAATTTAGATATTAACTTCAGTTTCCCTTTTTTTTCCCCTCCTGTTTTGACCTCCTAGTAAAGTTCCAGTCGCAATAGTATGCATTTGTTTAAGTCAAAGGCTGTGAGGTCAAGTACATCCATTTTCAAATCCTTTATTCCCTATTTAGTAGCTTTGCTAACTGGGGGCAACGTAAAGAGGGTTAGATGTAAAAGCATTCTAGAGGTACTATCAAATATAGTGTTCTATATGTTTATTAAAGTATGTAACAATGCAAACATACGTACTGTTGAAGATTGCAAATGAAAAAATAGTAGTATTTAATCATAAAAATTTTCTTCTGTAATTAATTACTACCTTGTTATGGAATTGGAACTCTGATAGCAAGATGTCAGTGGCAGGCAGTATGTGTATTTTATATTACAATAAGCAGCAGAAACTTCACCCTTAAATCCTGTAACTGGAAGTAATATTTATTTTTCTTCATTTTTAATGGGAGACAGCTGTTTAAAACATTGGTGCTTCTGAACAGTAGAAAAACTTTGCACATTTAAAAAATGTTTGCTTTTCAATACAGTAATGCACTGGTTTCCAACCTTCTGTATATAATGGCAAATAGAAAATAATATTTATACGGCAAACGGGCAAACAGATGGTTGGCGGCCCCAACGGCAGGAGCATAGATGTGATATTTGGCATTCGTGTAACCTGTCGCAGCCACACCACTGGGGAAACTGCTTTGTTGAACACATTGCAGTTCAGCGTCTTCCAGTTTTAGCATTATATTTACACCCTCAAGACAAATTGAGAGAGGTGAACAGAATAAAGTTCTTTCATTTTTATACAATTTGAAATTCAAGAACATTTTGGAACCCAATCTTTAACTCTTATAATATTGAGAATGTAGTTCCGCCCATCGCTTTTATTTCTGGAAACTGAATTCTTTAGTAAAATTGGCCAGATTATTCCTTGCCAAATGATACTTCCAAAGAAATAATTTTGAGTTACAATGAGCCAATTAAATTATACATTTATGTGGCCACCTGTCAATGCCCTTGCTGAGAAGTATTCAAAGCATTTAAATTCGTTATAAAGTCAACCAAAAAGACCAAGCTTTTAATCTAGCCTTGGCGGGTGAACTGAAGTGGAAATTTTTACTTGAATGACTTAAACAGTTCGATTTCTTTTAACTGTTAAAATAAAAAAATCTCTTCAGCATCATGCCATCTCAAACCACTTCTCTTTGTAGTATAACAGATTCCACAGTTTGCATTTGGTTCATCAAGCATTAAGCTGTCTGTGATTCTAGCCAAGTGAGCATATTAAGTTCATGACTATGTCCTTGACTGTTTCTATTTTTAACCTTTGTTTTTAGCATAAAGTGATTCCTGTTGAATGAAGCAATGAAAGGAATCAAGTTCATACCTTTGCAAAATGTTGCTGTCTTTAGCTGACATTGTTGCAAGTACTGCTAGTCATTTCAGGAACAGTAAATGTCGGCACTGCTTACTCATTTCTTAATCAGTTTAGGCAGATTTTGAGATTTTCCTTAAAACCCAAGAAGCAGTCATTTCTTATATTATGCCCATCAAAGGCCCCATGCCTAAAAGTGCCTCGATCACATAAAAATTCTCAAAAACACCATGAATTGAGTGGTGATGTTAATATCTGTGATTTTATCAGCTGCTTTAGGAGCATTTTAAATACATTCACTTTTTAAGCTTTTTCTGAATTTCTCAATGGTGTTTTTATCATGCTAGGGAAATGTGTATATCCAGTTAGATGTACTTGGAAAATGCTTATTTGAGTGCAAGACTCATGATTTATACTGTACTCCTCTATAGATTTTATGCCAGGTAATTTTTTCCACTTAATAACATAACTGCATTTCAAGTAACATCATGTAGTTTTTCATATTCAAAGAAAGCTCTTTTGAAATTGGGTTCATTTCTTCAGCTCATTAAGTTTATCATGCAATGTTTTCTTTTTTCCTATATTCAAGTTATACTTTTTTAATACCATTGTTTCATAGTGGCATTTAAATTTTTCTCACAGACACATTTTGCATATTAATCATATATGATTCCACAACAAATGTGTTTTCTCTATTTTTCTTAAAGACATAGTCTTCTTGGTGAGTCTTTTGTCTTTCAAATTTTGCTAACAGTACATGTGGAGGTATATATTTCTCAGTTATTTGAAAAATAAACACTGCAAACATTAAGAATGGCAACTGACATTCTGTTCCTTCCCAAAGCAATTCAGCTACTCAGCTGGTTCTCTCCATGGGAAACAAATAGGCCCTGTGTGGGCAAATTTTTGTTTTTGTTTTGTTTTAAGATTCTTCAGAACAAAAGCACATGCCTGTAGACTCACTCTAGTTTTTGACCTCCAACTTCGATTATCGTGTGTATTAAGTAGGAAAATAAATATTCAGCACTAGCACATTGTCTGATCATATAGAAAACGCTGAATATATGTTAATGTATTATTCTTTTTTCCTAAAATGAAACATTTTTGAGATGTTCTTATCAATTCCAAAATTAATTTATTTAGACTTTATATTGAAAATGAAGAAAATTTAATCTTATATTTCGTTTAGTGAAAAGTGTTTTGTTTTATTTTTTAATTGACTTTAGACAGTTCCTTCAATTTTCTGAGAAGGGAGATTTATTTATTTTTTTAAATGTTCAGTTCTATCATCAGATTTTATACCGAGATTATTTGTGTTAGCCATTTGAGGAACCTATAAAAGCTCTAAAAATTTTATATTTTACTAAGATGTTTCATAGATAGTTTCACAAAAAGAATTGAGTCAAAATGTAACCTATGCTAGAGACCAAAGTTTATTAGTCACTTTGGGGACTGGGGTGCAGCTGAGCCAAGCCATGGTGTTTTCAATTGCCTCATGTGCATGTGAAAGCTGGAGAATGAATAAGGAAGACTTGAAGAATTGATGCCTTTGAATGATGGTGTTGGTGAAGAATATTGAATATACAATGGACTGCCAGAACAACAAACGGGTCTGTCTTGGAAGAAGTACAGCCAGAATGCTCATTATAAGCAAAGATGGTGAGACTTTGTCTCACATACTTTGGACATGTTATCAGGAGGGACCAGTCCCTGGAGTAGGACATCATGCTGGGTAAAGTAGGGAGTCAGTGAAAGACAGGAAAACCCTCAACAAGATGGATTGACCCAGTGACTGCAACAATGGGCTCAAGCATAACAATGATTGTGAGCATGGCACAGGACCAGGCAGGGTTTCGTTCTCTTGTACATAGGATCGCTATGAGTTGGAACCAACTTGATGGCACCAAACAACAGCTTGTCAAATTTGGAACCAACTCGATGGCATCAAACAACAGCTTGTCAAATTTCCTAAGTTGTATTGTTTGTCTTCAATGTACTCAGCATACTAACAACTATGAAGATAGCACAGGACAGGACAACCTTTTGTTCTATTATACATAAGGTTGCTGTGAGTCAGAGCCAACTCGATGGCAACTAACAACAATTTTTTGCCTTAAATTGTACTTCTGTTTACTTTTTAGATGAAGTCACAGAATTAATTGATACTTTGATTGCCTTAAAAATATTTTATGAATGGTAATGATTATAGCATTGAAACATCTTCCTTTCTTTCTTTCCCTGTCCCCTCCTTTTTTGTGGTGATAGATCATTCCTGGTGTGCATAATAAGATCAGCAAAATCGTCAGTAACCAAAACCAAGACGACCATGAAAAAAAAGAAAAGGTAACTTGAACCTTTTAAAAATACATTTGATTCACTTTTGCATGTCTGAGCTGTAATTAAAAGCAGTTTTTTAAATAAGTGTCGAGTTAGAAGTACTTTATATACAATATTTCCTTCCCTGAATATAACTGTTCTGGCCAGAATGAAGGCCAGAAGCCTAGTAAAGCATAGGTACAAAAATGGTATAGAGGGCCAGGTCAAAGGTCAAAGGTCATGTCTACTGAGAAAACTTTCCTTACTGTTAATCAGAATTAATCACCCATTACCGTTTTTCCACCTCTATTTTAGTAGAATTAATTGATCTAAAACTTATTTTAGGATATGGTGTCAGCTAGGGATTATCTTTTATTTTTTTCCCTTAAGGATGACCAATTGTACTACCATTTTGAAATAGACTCTTCTTTACCCACTGATAGATCATGTACCCTCTGTTATATCTTAGGTTATTCGGAGGAGCCTGTTTCTGGCTCTCTTTTTGTCCCATTTTATTGATTTAGCTATCCTAGTACAGATTCTGCACTACCACAATTATTAACGTTTTCTAATAAATCTTGTTTTCTGATAGAGCAAGTCCCTTATATATTTCTTTTTCTTTAAAAAGCGTCTTGCCTATTTGCATGTTTTTTCATTTGTACCTAAATTTTAAAATTCGCTTGTCAAATTCCATTAAAAAACTCTCCGTGGATTTTGTTTGGAATTGCGTTATATCTATAGATTAATTGGGGAAAAAATTAACAAATTTATGATATTGAGGCCTCCTAACCATTAACATGGCATATCTTTCCATTTATTGAATGCTTTTACTTTCTATAATAAATTTTTGTAATTTTCTTCAGAGGTATTTTAAATCTTTTGTTTGATTTATTTCTGGATACCCTTATATGTTTTGTTACTATAATATTAATGATATATTTTTAAATTGCATTTTCTGTTTATTGCTGGTATGTAGAATTAAAATGGACTTTTACGTATTGACTTGACGTTTTGTAACTTTATTCTCTTAATCTTCTATACTGTTTAATCGTCCCAGTGTAGCACATTGGGAAAACTAAAATGCTGGAATAATAATTTAAAAAATCCCTCATAAAACCACCACACAAAGATAACCTTATTAAATTTTCTAGATAGTGCTTTCTAGTGTTTTTGTGCATATAAGAATATGAATCTCAAATTCTAATACTATGTCTATAGATTTTTATTTTTGGATTTTCTGTATAGATAATAATAATTTTGAATAAAAATTGTTTTATTTTCCCCTTCCAGTATTTCTTTTTCTTGTTTTATTACTACGTTTAATAAAAAAGATAGCTAACATTCTTGTCTTTTTCCTGATATTTAAGGAAATGTTTTCCATATTTTACCATTGAATATGATATATGGTATCAATTTTTTTTTTTAAGGACATGATCCCTTTTAGTCCTATTTTGCTAAGAATTTTTACCATGAGTGGCATTGAATTTTATCAAATGTATTATATGAATTCAGTGAAATAATTATTTATATATGCATGTATGTGTGTGTGTGTTTTTTTTTTTTTTTCTTGAGTCCCTTAATGTGGTAAAATACATTAATAGAGTTCCTAATGCTGAACCAGTCTTAAATCCTTGGATTAAATTTAATTTGGTCAAAATATGTTACCTTTTAATCCTATTGCTGGTATTATTTTTTTTTAGGATATTTTGCATCTGTGGTTATGGTCAGATTGGCCTGAAATTTTCCATTTATGTACTCTTCTTATCTGGCTTTCTTTATACTAGATGACTGCTAAAGTAGATAGGTGTATTTCTTCTTTCCAGTTCTCTGAAAGAGTTTGTGTAAAACGGTAATGATTAATACTTTAAATATTTGGTCAAACCAGCCTAAAAAGCCATTCTGGGCTTGTGTTGTCTATGTGGGAAAATTTTAAAGACTGATTCAGGTCTTTAACAGTTAATGAACCATTCAGGTATTCTGTTTTTTCTGTTGTCAGTTTTGGTCATTGACTCTTTTCTGGGAAGGTGGTGATTTTTACCAAAGTTTATGTTTTTGTTGGCATAAAGTTGTTCATGTATTTTCTTAATTTTTATTATCTCTGCTCCATCCTCTTCAGATCTCTTTCATTCTGAATATTGTTCATTTTTACTTTTATCTTTCTTTTTCTCGTTCAGTCTTGAGAATAATTTTTTGTTCATTCATCTTTTCGAAGAATTAGTTTTTGAAATTTCTTGTTCTTCTCTACTGTATCCTTTTTCTGCCTAATTAATTTTTGGTCTCATCTTTATATTACCTTACCTTTTTATTTTGGCTTATTGTCCCTTTTTTCCTCTAATAATCTTTAGCCAGTTGCAGAGTTCATTAATTTTTAACCTTTCTTTTTTTCTAAAATAAGAATTTAAGTCCATCAATTTCCTTTTGAGTACTCCTTTACTTACATCCCACAATTTTTTTTTTTAGGTTGAATTTTTGTTGTCCAAAACTAATTTTTATAGTTTCCAATATGATTTCTCTTTTATCCAAGGTTTATTTAGAAACAAATTTTTTAATTTCCATAATAATATTTTACAAATATTTGTATTTTCTGACCTATTTCAGTTATAATCAGAGATTTGCTTGCATAATATTAGTTATTTGACATTGGTTGAGACTTGTTATGAACTAGCTTTGTCAGTAGTTGTAAATGTCCTATTTATTACTGAAAAGAATAGCTGTTATCTAATTATAGGCTATAGGTTTTTATAAAGGTAATTAGATCAAGCATATTAATTGAGTTATTC